GCGGGCGGCAGCCGGCACGGCTGTCACCACGGGGGCGGGGTGGGGGGGGGGCACCCTTCAGGAGGCTTGGGAGCAGTCCAATCCAATCAGAGCTGTCCGCAGAGGGCCTTGCCGGCGCCGTCTGGCCCACGCGGGCTGCCTGACCCTCAGCCGCGTCGGGGACACAGAAAAGCCCATCAAATGTCAGCCCGCCGACTGACCAACGCAAGGCAGGTGCTCACGGTGAGATCTAACGAAAGGTCCGCCCATGCGGATTCTGCCAAAAAACACTTTTGTTTTTATAAAATCTCCCAGTAAACACTAAACAGCACGAGTCCTGTGAGCCCACAATCTCATGGTTGTTTACGTGCTACGCTGGTTTAGGCTGACAGAAGTAATTTACAACAGGTAAGAATGCGGGTAATCAAATCTGGGCATTAATTCAGTTTCTCTGTTCCAGTAAATCTTTTTGAAGATGTAAGTAAGCAATCTCTGGGCTGTTTACGTTACCTGATTGGTTATCTGTACTCCTCACATCAATGGGCCATTTTAAAAATCCAAACAAAAAAAGTCATGGGTCACTACAAAGGCCTTGTTTCTGTTTAGAATAATCTGAGCTAAGATAATGAGGAACATCTATCTAATCAGCTATCAGACGCTAAGCTCAGAACACTACAGCACAGAGAGTATGCGCTATTAAAAAAAAATCCTGCCCCCTGGTGGTTGGACAGGAACTCACAGCTCTGCTCACAAACTGGATTTTAAAAAAGTTAAACAAAACTTCTGAAGCATTTTTTGGGGAAAAAAAAACAAAAATATCATGAAATGATATTGGATTTTTATGATATTAAGCCCCTAGTGTAAAATGAAAGAAAACATAAATATATATATGTTGAGTGCTTACTGCTGCTGAAATTTGATTATCAGACTACACAACTTGGTTCTCAAAATTTTCACAGCAGGACAGCATATTTGTTTTGTTTCTGCAGAGAGCACCACTACCTCTGAAGGTTTCAAATCGAGTTTATAAAACATTAGTATGGAGGACGGCACAAAGCTGAACCTTAAAGACTAACGCCTCTAGCTGCCTGTTTTAGCAGCATTTTACTCCACCTTGTCTACTGAACATGACTCCCCGACGTAGTGCTAAGAAAAGGCCAAGACAAAATTCGCAGATCTACACATGCCTGTCTGACCTACAGGGGGCCCTCTAATCAAAACACTCAAGTGCCAAATGGACGAAATGAAGTGAAATGTGGTCTCATGTGCTCCATCTTCTGCCATTTCACTTCCATGATGTTCAGAACGTGGCCTCCTGGCCAAGGGGCACCTCAAACACTGAGACACGACGGCAGGATCACAGGCGGCGGAATCGTGTGAACGGTCTGTCAGAAGCAATCAACAATCTCTTTTCTATCTCTCCCCCCCCCTCCCCAGTCAGCCGGGGCTTTTGCTCCCAGGACCCTCCGGGAGGAATCCAGCCGCGTCTGTGCCAATAGCCTGCCGTCACTGATGCTAGCGGATGTCACATGATGCCGCCGTACCGATGACAGCGAGAAGAGCGCTCCAAAAAAAGCCCAGCTATTTGCACACCCGCCGCTCCCTCTAGCTAGACGGGAGCCCCAGAAGGACCCGCGTCCCACCCGTAGGATTAGAGGCGTGCCCATTGTCCCTGTCCCCCTGTCAAATGGCACGTCACACAGGTGGCCCCCGAAATGCCTGCTGGCTGCATCCCACTGCAGAGTCTTCATACTTTTTCCTTGTGTCCCTTTTTATTTCAGCTGTAGTTCAGGGTGCGTGGAGGGACTGAGGCACCGACGAGGCTGACACTATGGCTGAGTCACCCTCCGGCAATGAGCCGCGCGGCTGCGGAGGGCGAAGGCGGCACAGCGGTGGGCGAGAGGCGTGGCAGCCCGCTCTCACTCTCAAAAGCACAACGGAAGCTGATCATTTAATGCTGCTTTGAGCAATTTTTACAACCAGCCCCATTTATAACATCACATACCTTCAACTGCAATTCATCCTGACAACATTTTTGTTTGTACTTATATTCAAACTCTGCTTCTCTGCACTCGTGGCAGAGTGTTTGTCCCCACACAAGGCTGTGAGCTCTCCCATGAAAGAGTTAGCATGGCTCCAGATCTGCCAAGGTAAGGAGCCCAGCAGAGAGTTTTGTCAGTGAGCTGTGATCTTGATCTGTGTGTGTGTACGCGTGTGTGTGTGTGTGTCTGTGTGTGCGTGTGTGTCTGTGTGTGCGTGTGTGTATGTGTGCGTGTCTGTGTGTGCGTGTGTGTATGTGTGCGTGTGTGTGTGTCTGTGTGTGTGTGTGCGTGTGTGTTCAGCCAAATGACTATTTCAATATTAGTCTAAATACTAGAACTCGTGGCCATAAGTGGAAATTAGCGGGAGAACATTTTAAAACAAATTTGAGGAAGCACTTCTTTACACAGCGTGTAGTCAGAGTATGGAATAGTCTTC